GCGGTTTTCTGCCCGCCGTGCGCCCCGAGGCGCGCGACAGGTTTCTGCCCCGTCACTCGCCGCGTCGCCCCCGGGAGGCGCTGCGACGGGCGACGGGGACCCGTCGCGCCGCCCAGGGGAGCCGCGCGCGGCCCCTGCTGCCCCGTCGCGCGGCCCTCCTGCCCCGTCGCGCTGCCCAGGGGAGCCGCGCGCGGCCCCTGCTGCCCCGTCGCGCGGCCCTGCTGCCCCGTCGCGCTGCCCAGGGGAGCCGCGCGCGGCCCCTGCTGCCCCGTCGCGCGGCCCTGCTGCCCCGTCGCGCTGTCCAGGGGAGCCGTGCGCGGCCCCTGCTGCCCCGTCCCGGACCTGCCCCGGCCCCGACCTGCCCCGGCCCAACTCCCGTCGCCCGTCGCGGCGCCCTGGGGGGGGCCGCTTGCGGCCCCCCCCAGGGCGCCGCGACGGGCGACGGGAGGGGAGTCTACAGGGGGCCGCGCGTTGCCCCCCCCCCCCTACCTCCCTACCCTGTTTTTAGGGTTTGGGGGGTGGCGGTTGGGGGGTGGCGGTTGGGGGGTGGCGGGTGTGTGGCGTCGCCTGCTCCTCCTCCTCCTTCGTCTCCCACTGCTGCAGCTATCGCTGAGGGGGGTGGATGTGTGGGAGTGTACGGAGTGGTGCTAGGGGGGTGGAGTGTGAGTAGAGCTAGGGTTTGAACAGGGGGTGTGTGAAATGGGGGTGGGACAGTTGGGGGAGGTTGAATGGAGGCGGTCGTCGTGTCGTCAGCAGCAGCAGCAGTCCGGAGGCTACAATCTCCGGTAGTCGCCAGTCGCCCGTGGGTCCGTTGCTCGTCTGCCGCTACTTTTAGCCGCGGGGCCAGTTACCCCAGTAGTCCGGAGCGCTGTTCCGGTAGCCACTGAGCCAGCAGCTCGTCTGTGTGTCTGCAGCGTCAGCAGTCGCCTCCCATCTTCTCTCCCCCACAGTCTCTCCTCCTCCTCACTTGCCCTCTGTGATAGCCTCTAGCTTTGCTTATATTTGTTAACTATAAAACTGCTACCTCTTGTACTTGTGCTCAGAATGTGTGGTGACATTGTGATCCACCCTGAGCTTGTTTTCTTTTGCTTGCTCTGCTGATTACACCCCACTTTGGCTATGGGGGTGTGTCAGAATATTATGCTCTAGCCTGTAGTGGGGTGCTCTATAGCGAGTACAACTCTTCTAGGGTTTTGCTATTTGTATCCCCATTCTTGCTAGTGCAATCCTCTTCTTTCTTCTAAACTTTAACACCAATAACAGAAGTTGTGAAGGGAGTTGTCGAGTATGTGAGTGACAGATGTGGGTTCGAATAGTCGGCATGTTGTGGGGGAGTTTGTTGAGTGCAATACATAGTTTGCACGACAACCTACCGCCTATTTGTCGACGTTGAGTGAAAGTGAGGTGTTCCTCTGAAGTTAATTTGTTGTGCGTGAGTTACGCATTTCCGTGCTTTGCGTTTCTATGTTTACGGCTCGTGAATCGCCTCAACGGTTCATGAGTTGTGTGCGTTTTCGTGAAAGGCTGCGTTCATGAGAGTTCGTTAATGTCTGTGTGCGAATGCAAGACTTCGTGCGCGTTTGCATTGTTTCGTGAGTTGTCATGAGTGTGCGTTGTTTTTATGTTCGTGAATTTCTGTGTTTGTGAAATTCCGTGAGGGTCGTGTGTTGTTCATGAATGTTTGTGAGCGTCATGGTTGTTTCTGTTTTTCTATTTTCGTGTGTGTTCGTGAAGAGTCGCGAGTGTTCGCGAGGATATTTTCCGTGCTGGTCAAGGTCAAGGGCGCCAGAATCTTGACCGCGCGTGAGCTCTTGATTTTGCGCGTGGGCCCTCAGGCCCGAGCGTGTGGCTCGCAACTGTTGCGAGCGTGTGGCTCGGTACTGTTGCGCGAGGGCACAAGGCCCATGATCGCAACAGACAGCGCACGTCAGTGCACTGTAGAGCACGACCGAAAATATCGGTCGTACTATGATTGCGCCGGCAGGGGCGCGCGTGTGTTTCGGGGGGTGCTGCGGGATTCCGAGGGGTGCTCGGGTTTGACTCGAAATTTCAGTTAAACAACTGAATCTCGAGCCTCGTCTTTTACTGCACGTGGCACAAAGAATTTTCGCGGGAAAGCACCGCGCGTAAAGGGACAATTTTGATACAGGAGAAAAACGGTGAAAGCCGTTTTTCAACTGTGAGACTTCGTGAAAACGGTAATCTCACACGAGTGTTTATGATTGCGCACGAACGATCATGAGGGGAGTCAGCAGGGGAATTTGGCAGACATGAAATTTGAAGACAGTTGTTCTACAGGGGAGAACCAAGCCCAATTCCGAAGCAGTTCGACAACCGTTTTCCTTGGCGCATCTGGCGAAGTCCTGAATTATAGTTAAACAACTGCTTTGTGCTTTCTTATGCTTGTGTGCTAGGCGAAATATAAATGTGTGCTTGTGTTCAGTTGTGATCAATCCTTTTGAGTGAAGTTTTTCTCTATCATCGTATTGACGTGAAGAGAACTTTCTGCACACGACCAGTTCGTCGTCATAACGTTGCGCAAGGAGCTTTGGGAATGCTCTAACGCACGCGTTTGTTTTCATACTTGGCGTGTCCCTCAACATAACACGGACCCTTGGATAGGGGCTGGCCTTTGTCAGGCACCCAAGGACCCTTGGAGGTGACCCCGTGGGGACTGTTAAGTGTGAATTAAAGGTGTGGTTAGTAGCTCCTATATCCCAATAGTAGTCAACAGTCTTGGCGCATTCTGTCGGTTCGACTCGAATCTGGTGGTAACCGTCGCGTAAGTCAATTTTCGGGAGAAAAAAAAAAGTTGTTCGCAGTTGACTGTTACCCTGTTTAGTGCGCGGTGGTCTATGCACATGCGAAAACCTCATTCTTCGGGGTGAACAATATCGGTGCGACGAACGGTGATGAGCTCGGTTGAATGTTTTTTTTTCTCCAGTAGGTAATCTAACTACTTCCTCATTTCGTCCAACTCGGGCTGTGTTAGGCAGAACTATCGCTGTACGGTCGGCTGTGCCCCCGGTTCTAACTGTATGCAGTGATCGTGTGCTCGATGAGGTGGCAGTCCCTCCGGTAAGTCGTCGGGAAAAATCCTGGGGTACCGTTTCGATAGCTCCTATAGTTCGGCCGATACGACTGCTAGCAGTTTCTGAAAATCGCTCGGTTCCTCAGCTTCTCCCACTTCTATGATATCCACTGCATAAACGTTAGCTCCAGCGGCGACGACCCGTTTCATCGTGATGGCGTTGACGTGGACCGTTGAAGACTCAGGCTACTGCCAGCGAGATAGCAAGACCCAGTTACTGTCGCTTCGCACAGTGCAATTGGCTATGGTCCAGTCGATTCGAGGGTTGTAGCGTCGCAGCCAATCACGTCCCTGTAAAAAGTCGTGCCCATCCAGTAAACCCGAAGACCCCCCCGCAGCGAACTTTCACTCTTTCCACCTTCTCCCGTATAGCCAGCGGCTTGCCGTCAACTAAGCGTGCGTCGTTCTTCGGTAAGCAGCGACTAAGTGTCAGTTGCAGTTTCCTTGAAGTTGCGGTATTAATTAAACCATGGCTAGCTCCTCCGTCGATAAAAATCTTAATCGCTACCCCCTGTATTTTCCCGTGAATCAATATTGGGCAATCTGTCGTTGTACCCTCATTATTTAGCAGAGCCCGATCGATTGCGTGAATCGGTACCGTCACTCGGTGAGGGTCAGTCTTGTCGGGCGAGCAGTGAGTCTCGTCAGTAGTGGGCCCGTACTCTACTGACTGTTGGCGTTTCCCTGCCTCCCAGACTCCCTCCCCGCTCTGCTCCTCGCTGCCTTAGCTTCTATGGGCACTCGTTCTTACGATGGCCCGGCCTGTTGAACGCGAAGCATCGCCCCTTAAACGATGTGGCTGCTGCATTTGTTGCGACGTCATGTACAGTGGCGTGCTTGGTCGGCCTCGGAGTACGATGTCCGTAGTAGGACTCCGGCCTTGGACGGCGCAAAATGTTGATTTTCTCCGCGAACGCTAGGATTTCGTTGAAGTTCGAGATCCCACGGAGTAGGATTTTTCAGCAGTATTTCAGGATTCAGGCCGCCGACGTAGCAATCCACTCGCTCCGCTTCGTGCATGTAGCCAACTTGCTCACACATCGCGAGAAAATTGCTGGTGTAATCTTGAACCGAGCCAAGCTGTTGCCAAGTATGCAGCTTCTGACGTGCTGAGATCGACGATCCGATCGGCTTGAAGCGCGCCCGAAGCCCTGTGCACCACGCGTCCCACGTGCTGTATTGGGCGACTTCGCAGAAAAAACTCCAGGTTACGGCTGGCCCCAAGGGAATCTCCTCTTGCGACAGTGGCTCGTAGGCGCTCGGCGATGTCACGATGACTCGCCACCAGTCCATGGCTGGGCCAGGTAGCAACGATACGGCGTAAATCTTCGCTGCATTCGACGTGACGTAATTTGCGTCGAAAAACATGTTCATTGTTAACACCCACGATTGAACCGTCGAACCTCCACGCTGGCTAGGATCGAAACAGGGCGAGTGCTGCAGCTTGAGTGGCATCGGCTCACCGATGCCATTGTTGCCGACAGGTGCGAAGATGCTGACGTGACACCGAACTTCTCGAGGTGTGTTCACGCCCGGTGCAGCTCTGGTTCTCTCCATGCCCGGCATAGATTGGGCGGCGCCATCACTGATTGCTCTTGAACGCTATCCCACGCTGTCGTGTGTCAAAAACTAACGAGCAAGAATGATTGCATTGAACAGAAACGTGGTACAAGTACTTGTTGGAGTACGCTAGAGCTCGCTCTGGTCTTTATTTTGGTGTTTTTATATTACTTCTCCATGCTTAGAGAGAGTTACACATTCAGGTTCATTTTAGGTTCATTTCGTAGTTCTTAGTACAAACCGAACACACCCTAGGTTCAATTAGGGTTTCCAACCCTCTCTCTTTTGTATCTCGACATTTTCTTCCAAGTGTAATTCTTTTCGACCCTACCTAACTCTCTCGCCATCCATGGCTCCTCTCATCTTAACATGGTATTCAGAGCGTAGTCATAGGCGTTTCATACTTATCCGTATTTCTTAGATAATCTCCGGCCCTTAGGCCATTTCTGCGCTACTTAGCTAGACGGTTTTTTATTACCTCCTTTCTTTCCCATCACTCTTAAAAAAATTGCATTTTTTTTTGTCACATTATACTCTCGCGAATCCCTCAATCCAGTCCGTAGCGCGTCGCCATACCGCCCTTATCACTCTCCCGCGCCTTCCCATTCGTCGCGCCTCCTTCTCCTCCCGTTTCTGACGGTCGCGCGCCCATTTCCGCCCAAAGCGCGCTCTGCCGTCCCCCCCCTTCCCCCGTCCCGTCGCGCGCGCATTGCGCTCCCGCAGCCGCGCGCGCTAAGCACCGTCCAGCAGCGCGCGCGCCTGCCCTTCCTTGCGGCGCGCCCTGCCCTTCCTCAATCCGCCCCTTCCCTCACCCTCCTCCTCCTTCCCTCTCTCATTTGTGCTTCCCCCACTACCTCACCTCTTCCTCCTCCTATTTTCTCTCCCCATCTGCTGCGGCTCGCAGCTCCTTGTGGCGCGCCCTGCCCTTCCCACAATCCGCCCCTTCACCCTCCTCCTCCTCTCCTCTCTCCCATTAGTTCCCTCTCCACTATCTCACCCCTCCTCCACCTCTTTCCTCTCTTCATCTGCTGCAGCTGGTAGCTGATTGTGTTGTGTAGCTGTTGTTCCTCCACACCTTCCCTCCTCCTCAACATCCTCCTCTCAACTGCTCAACTGCAAACTCTTCACAATTCTCCCTCCTCCTCTTATTTCTCCCTTCAGCTTCACAGCAGCAGACTTCTCCGCCGCTATCCCTCCTCCTCTGGTTTCTCCCCCCATCGGCGCAGCAGCAGACTACTCCGCCATTTTCCCTCCTCCTCTGGTTTCTCCCTTCATCGGCTCAGCAGCAGACTACTTCGCCATTTTCCCTCCTCCTCTGGTTTCTCCCAGCATCGGCTCAGCAGCAGACTACTCCGCCACTTTCCCTCCTCCTCTTGTTTCTCCCCTCAGCAGCTCAGCAGCAGACTACTCCGCCACTTTCCCTCCTCCTCTTGTTTCTCCCCTCAGCGGCTCAGCAGCAGACTACCCTGCCCTTATTCCTCCGCCTCTTATACCTCTCCCCACATCTGCTCTGCAGCTGTTTCCTCCTCCTCATGGCGACCTCTCTCGCCCTCCCCTCCCTCCCTCTGCTGGTCCTTCAGCTTGCGCCCGATGGCAGTGCAGTCAACTTCCCCAGTTGGCTGAACTGTCTTGAGCGCACGCTGTCTAGCACCCTAGTGAGTGGCTTTAACCTCTGGTTTGTCACCCAGCAGAGTGGTTCTGGCGCCATTCCTACCTCTCCCTCTGCACCCACCTCTTCCTCCTCTGACCCCTATGCTGATGGCCTCCGTGCTGCCATTGCCGAAACTGAGCGGCTTGTGGCCACGGCGCAAGCCACCGCCACGGCTGCTCCTGACAATGCTGCTGCCCGTGACTTAGCTCGTATTCTTGCTGAGTCCCTTGAGAGCACCCGCAAGCGCCTCACTGAGCACCTCGCTGCCCCTTCTCCTCGCTCTGCCTCTACGCCCCTTCTCCTCGCTCTGCCTCTACGCCCCTTTCCTCTGCTCCATCTCACTCTGACCTTCTCGCTGACTGGCATGTTCAATTAGGGTTTCCAACCCTCTCTCTTTTGTATCTCGACATTTTCTTCCTAGTGTAATTCTTTTCGACCCTACCTAACTCTCTCGCCATCCATGGCTCCTCTCATCTTAATAGTACTAACCCTAATTGGGTTGTACCCCATATAGGCTACCCCACTACAGCCTACAAAACATAAGCATCATTATAGTTTGACACACCCCCATAGGCAAAATGGGGGAGAGCAAGAGGTCACAAGACCAGTCAAGAAAAGCAAAGTAAGCTCAGGGTGGATCACGAAGTCACCACGCATCCTGAGCACAAGCAAATGGCCACAAGGCCAGTTCACATGCAGAGTTATATATAAAGGAGAACAAACAGAGTGCTCTGGTCGGTGTCTCCCGGGCGCAACGTAACGTGCCAGGATGCTAAGAGGGTAAGCAAGGTCACGTCGAGTGCAGGTCATCAGGTACATGAGGCAGCCCACAAGCTCTGGATACGGGCCATTCGGCTCTACGGACTCGTCCGAAGGTGGAGCTGAGAGTGAGTGACCGGTACGCAGAGGAGTGGACTATGGCGAGGACCAAGTGAAGCCGAAGCGCTGAAGGACCTGCTGCACCATGTGTGACTGAGTCAGGGTGATGGTGCGGCGTGCTCTGTCCCGGGTGATCTGCAAGCCAAGATAGATGCGAATCTCACCTAGGTCTGTGCACGTGTGTCTCTTCTGCAGCTCCGACTTCACTAGAGTCAGTGCCTCAGTGTCAGAAGTGGCAAAAACCAAGTCGTCAACGTACACGAGGATGTAGAACGGCGGCAGCGAAGTGTCAGTGCGCAGAAACAGCGACGGGCCAGCAGTCGAAGGAGCAAACCCAAGAGCCGCAAGTGTCGTCCTCAGTGTGTCGTGCCACTCACGAGGCGCCTGGCGGAGACCATAGACTGGCCGCCGGAGGCTCCACTGGGTACCTGCAGGAAACGACCTAGTGAAGCCAGGTGGGCGGCGCAGCCAGATCTCCTCGTGCAGAGGTCCCTGTAAGAAAGCTGTGCTGAACTCAAGAGAGTGAAGCTCGTAGTCACGCTGAGCGGCGACGTGCAGCAGCACCCGAAGAGTGGTCATCTTCGGGGTAGGGGAGAAGGTCTGGAAAAAGTCAACTCCCTGTCGCTGACTAAAGCCTCTAGCAACGTAACGAGCCTTGAAGACAGGCGGAGAACCTGGCAGCCGCTTCACCCCGAAAATCCACATGCCATCTACTATGTTCGCCCCAAGAGGGGGAACTCTGTTGACGAAAGTGCCTGTGGACTTCCAGGATGCCATCTGTGCGTCCATGGCTGTCTGCCACTGAGAGGAGTAGGGACCCGTAATCGCCTCTGCGTAAGAGCGCGGTGTCGGGATGTCTGGTGCATCCGGGTCTCCCTCAGGTGCAAGCAGCATGGACACGAGATGAGGTACAGCAGCTGCAAGACACTCAAAGTCCTCCTGCCTGTCCTCAAGGACGTCCGTGCCAAGAGCACACTCACCCCCGACGGACGGAGGACAGACAGACTCAGACTCAGCAACAAGACTATCTGCGTAGTCGAGACGACGGTTAGCAGCAAAGTCGACAAGCTCAACAACTAGGGCAGACGCAACAGTGGACTCAAACAAAGGGTCGGTGACAACAGTGGCTAGGAGACGGGTGACAATAGGACTGGCAGCACGAATTAAGTCAGACTCAGGGTCTGGACCGTCAGGAAGAGAGGACGCAGGAGGAGACGGCAGGGGAACTCGCAGTGGAACAGAGGAAGGACGAAGTGTCATAGTGTGAGTGCCGGGGATAGGAGGAGGACACGGACGCGGATCACGACTACCAGTGCGACCAGCGCGAATAGGCGAGGCAGGGCGAGATGCAGGCTCACGACGCTCTGTAAGAGAGTCTGTCTGCTCAGTGTGAGGAGAAGGAGCAGGCAGTGGGAAGGCTGGCTGTAACTGTGGCTGTGACTGGTCTGGCGGTGGACACAGTAGAGGTGGAGTAAGGTCAGTAGAAGACGGGAGACCAAGAACCTGGCGAAGCAGTGGAACGGAGTACGGTCGCGGCCGCACAGCGCCTCCAGCACCAGTAGCGACAGCTCCAGCACCCCCAGCGCCAGCACCTCCATCTCCAGGGTCTCTAGCTCCAGCACCTGCAGCACCACCAGCTCCAGCAGCTCCAGCACCTCCAGCACCTCCAGTACCTCCAGCACCTCCAGTACCTCCAGCAGCAGAAGCACCACCAGCTTCGGCAGCTCCAGTACCTCCAGCACGAGCACCTCCAGGACCAGCAGCTCCAGCACCTCCAGCACCTCTAGTAGCAGCAGCACCACCAGCTCCGGCAGCTCCAGTACCTCCAGTAAGAGCACCTCCAGGACCAGCAGCTCCAGCAGCTCTAGCACCTCCAGCACCTCCAGTAGCAGCAGTACCACCAGCTCCGACAGATCCAGTACCTCCAGTGCGAGCACCTCCTGGACCAGCAGCTCCAGCACCTGCAATACCTCCAGCTCCAGTGCCTCCAGCTCCAGAGCCCGCAGCACCACCATCTCCAGCAGCTCCAGAACCTCCAGCACGAGCACCTCCAGGACCAGCAGTGCCAGCACCACCAACACCTCTAGCACCAGCAGCACCAGTGCCTCCAGCACTGGCGCCTGCAGCAGCAGGGCCTCAAGCTCCAGCAGCGCGACTCCGAAGGCGGGTGCACCAAGCGTACCACTCGCGCAGCTGCTGTGGTGAGAGAGGCTCCCGCCGGCTAGAATGCTAGGGCGAGGCACCAGTAGGACCTCCAAGACTAGTAGCTTCAGCACCCCCAGTACCTCTTGTACCAGCAGTACCTCTAGAGCCTCCAGGACTAGCAGCTCCAGGGCCTCCAGCTCCAGCAGTGCCACTTCGAAGGTGTGTGCGTCGAGTGTACCACTCGCACAGCTACTATGGTGAGAGAGGCTCCCGTAGTGTAGACGCAGTACCCCTAGGCTCAGCACTCCCAGACTCAGCACCCGCAGGCTCAGCACCCCCAGGCTCCGCACGCTCAGACTTAGCAACCCCAGGCTCCACACCCGCAGGCTCAGCACCCCCAGGCTCCGCACGCTCAGGCTCAGCACCCCCGGGCTCCGCACTCGCAGGCTCAGCACCTCCAGGCTCCGCACGCTCAGGCTCCGCAACCGTAGGCTCAGCACCCCCAGACGCAGCACCCCGAGAAGCACCAGCGTCACCAGTGACCTCGACAGGCTCAACCAAGGGGATTAGGTCTACCTGAGACACACCTGAAGGAGCAGGACCCTGAGGGGGGAGGGGGTCTACCGGAGGGGGACCTGGGCGAGGAAGAGCGGCGGGGGGGGGGGAGAGGGGCAGTGCGGTAGGGGAAGAGACGGTAAAAGGGAACCGACTCGTCAAACGTTACATCTTGAGAGGGCAGGACACGGCGCGAGGTGGGGTGGTAACACTGCCAGCCAGGCGCGTCAGGGGGGAAGCCAAGGAAGACGCAGGGAATGGGGACAAAGGCACGAGAACCCCAGACCCGGAACACCGACGCATCGCCAACCTCCCCCGACCAACGCAGTGTAGGCGAGGTCTCCAGAAAGGAGACACGGGGCCAGAGGTTGAGCTGATGCGCGGCGTACCAGACTGCAAACGGCCACAGAAAATGGGGAGCAGCCGCATGGATCATGGAGGTACGAGCGACCTCCATGACTAAGCCAATGCGGCGCTCACCAACCCCATTCTGGTGCGGAGAGGCCGGAAGCGTGAACGACTGGAGGATGCCCTCCCCACGACAAAAGTCCCGCAAGAGGTCGGAGGAAAACTCACCACCTCTGTCAGAGTGCAGACGCAGGACAGGAAGGTCCTCACGGAACCGCTCACGGAGCTGGAGATGGACTTCGCGGATCTAAGGGATCAAGAAATCATGGACCTCACCCTTGCTGTGCAAGGGGAAGACTGTGGTGTAACGCGTGTAGGCGTCAACAACCAGCAGAAAGTATCGCTCGCGGCCCTGTCCCTAGAAGCGGGCTGGGCCCCACACGTCCATGTGGAGAGTCTGCAAGGGAGCAGTCGTCGGGGGAAACAAGGAGGAGTGAGGAGCGGCGCGCTGCCGCCCCTCGACGCAAGGAAGGCAGGGCGGGGCAGGCGAGCGCGGGAGGGGGGGCAGATACCTGGGATGGCCAGAGACAAGGAGGCGGGAGTGCATGCCACGGAGGCGTGGCAGGGAGGGGTGACCAAGGCGGTGGTGCCAAAGGAGAGTCTGGTGCGACAGGAGGCGACACGAACAGGGGGCTGCTAGCTGACGTGACGCAGACGCAGACGCAGCTACCTGAGGAGGCTCAGTAGTCAGTGTGTACAGGCTCGACCCAGGCCGACGGGTGAACGTGGCCAGGTGACGGCCCGTCCGTGCACACGTGCAGATCGCCACACACTGTCATCCAGGGGTAAAGGTATCAACCCAAGCATCCTGAAGGGCGGCGTTACTCACCAAGTTCGTAGAGAACGAGGGGAGGTGAAGACCTGACAGTGAGCCAGACAGAACCGCCGGACACGTGAGAACAGTGGAAGAACGTGCAAGAGCCGGGCCCCCAGAGGGGTTAGCTAGAGAGACTGCAACCGGTGCTGCGAGTGGTGTGACTGTGGTGCTGTCGCGAAAGAGGCAGCGGGAAGAACCTGAGTCAAGCGTGAAGGTGGTCAAGGCCTCAGGAGGCGCAGTACCAGAGAGAGCAGACTCACTAGCACCTAGAGCAGCAGCCTCTATACCAGGGTCGGGCGGCACACACAGGTAACAGTCACCCTCAGTACCAATAGTCAAAGCATACATGGCAGTAAGGATAGCGTCATAGTCTAAAGCAAAGATATCCACACCCTGCCTAAGCAGCTCTAGCCAGCGGGGGAGCTCAGCCGCGTCGCCAAACTCTGCGTGCCAGGCGTCGCTCAGACAGGAGAAGCAGCGGGACTGTGTGTGACCAACTGTCCCGCAAGTCTGACCAGCCCGATCACCTGTGCGAATGACGTACGGGCAGCGAGCACTACTCCGAGACGCCCCACACTGAGCGTACCACTCACGAAGCTGCTGGGCCGTAAGGGTCTCGCGCGCACGCCGCCGCAGCTGCACCAGGCTACCGCCAGAAACTCCCCACTGAATGGCTGCACAGCGACTGCCACTACTGCCACCGCCACCACTCCTACTAGCGTACCACTCACGAAGCTGCTTGGGCGTAAGGGTCTCGCGCGGACGCCGCTGCAGCTGCATCTGGCCACCGCCAGAAAGTCCCCACCGAGCAGCTCCACAGCGACAGCTACTATGGCCGCCACCACTCCCACAGCTGCCACCACCACCGCCACCACTCCCGCCGCTACTACCGTATTACCCCGGATATAAGCGCACCTGCGCTTATAATAAAACAGTGTTTTTTTGGGGGGTGCGCTTATAATTGAGTAAAAATTATAAGCGCATGCGCTTATAATATAACAAATACAAATATATATTTCAATGCACCAAATTGTACATCTCATCCTTCAGTGTTCAATCGAATCGAAATTGTAGAAAGTCACATGTCAAAATCGCGCGCGGGCGATTCTTCGCGAGCGCCCAGAGGCAAAATACAGTGTAAAATTGAGGGCGTGCCAGCTCGTGCTGACTGGACGCGCAGGATGTGAGGGGTCTTCGAAAGTCAATGTAAGCGAAAATGGGTTGTGGCCTCGCTGCAAAACTGAGATTCGTTACCGTTTTAATGAAGAATTATAAATAAAATTACACATGCGCTTATAATATATCAGGGTTTTATAAGGGGTGCGCTTATAATTGAGGATCGGCCATAAGCGCATTGCTCCAGATACAAGCGCATGCGCTTTTAATAGGCCTGCGCTTATATCCGGGGCCATACGGTATGAAGATAAGCCGCACGGAGGGAAGGTAGGGCGGCGAGAAGGCACTAGGGTAGGTCTGGGCGGCGCACGGTCAGGAGCAGGGCGGAGCGCGGGCAGCAGGGGTGGCGCGCGGAAAGGCAGGATGGTGTGCTGGGCTGCAAGGGGGCAGCGCGCGGGCTGCAAGGGCGGCGCACGGGCTACAGGGCGGCGCGTGGGCTGCCAGGGTGGCGCGCGGGCTGCAGACGGGCGGCTCGCGGATATGTAGGGGCGGCGCGCGGCCAGACAGGGGCGACGCGCGGCCAGCAGGGCGGTGCGCGGGGCTACAAGGGGCGGCGCGCGGGCTGCCAGGGTGGCGCGCGGGTAGGCAGGGGCGGCGCGCGGGCAGGCAGGGGCGGCGTGCGGCCAGGCAGGGGTGGCGCGCGGCCAGCAGGGCAGTGCGCGGGGCTACAAGAGGCAGCGCGCGGGCTGCAAGGGCGGCACACGGGCTGCAGAGGGTAGCGCGCTGCCAGTAGAGAGGCGCGCATGCTGCAGACGGGCGGCGCGCGGGCTGCAAACGGGCGTCTCGCGAGCTGCAGGCGGGCGACGTGCGGGCTGCAGACGGGCGGTGCGCGGGCTGCAGACAGGCGATGCGCGGGTGGTGTGCGCGGGGCAGCGCGACGCGGGGCAGGGCAGAGCGTGCGCGGGGCAGGGCGACGCGTGGTAGGGTAGGGCGTGCGCGGGGTGGCGCGACGCGTGGCAGGGCAGGGCGTGCGCGGGGCAGCGCGACGCGGGGCAGGGCAGGGCGTGCGCGGGGCAGCGCGACGTGGGGCAGGGCAGGGCGTGCGCGGGGCAGCGCGACGCAGGGCAGGGCAGGGCGTGAGGTAGTGCGGTAATCGCAGTCGGTCACTAGCTAATGGTGGGCCCGAAAAAAAACGGTCCTACGGAGCTACTGCTCTGAAACCATGTCAGAAACTAACGAGCAGGAATGATTGCATGGAATAGAAACATGGTACAAGTACTAACCCTAATTGGTTTGTACCCCATATAGGCTACCCCACTACAACCTACACAACATAAGCATCATTATGGTTTGACATCGTGTTGCGATGGCGTTCCGCATGACATGACGATCGGCTCGTCCGATTGTGAAGGTGCATTTGCTGGTGCTGGCAATGGTGCATTTGCCGATAACTGTTGCAGCGCGGAGTCGCGTTCCGCCGTGAGCGTCTCAATTTTGAGCGTCGATTCTTGCAGCTGGCGCACAATTTTGTCAAGGCGCGTCTGCATGAGGCCTTCGAGTGGAATGCGGGCGTTCTCGTCCATGGCGGGAATGTCGGGCTAGCTCAGCGGGAGCCTCAGTCGTGGCTGGGTATGCTTAGGAGGGAGCACACGAGCAGCGGTGCTTGGTCGCTGAGGGATGTATACCCCCCCAAAATATGAGAGAATGTGGGAAGCGAAGATGTGGGCGCGGTCCAAAAAAGTCGTGGCCCTGGATACCAAGTGTTATGAGTGCAATTGAGTGAGCGAGTGAAGATTGCACTATCAAAATACACAGTACATTGAGCGAAGGAATGGGCAAATGTTATATATCGAACTAGCGTGGTTACGGTAATGCGTGGAAATGGGGTGCGCTACGGGCCTAGCGCATAGGTTGGGAATTGTCGAGGCAGAGGATCGGAGCGTGGGTTACCAACCGAGCCGTGAGGTTGGGTCACGATGTGAATAGTGGCGGGAATAGTGGTCGAGGCGAGTGTCGCGAGTGGTAACGGTGCACTGTTGGGTATTGTTGGTGGGAACAGGCGTGTACGTAGTAAGCACGGGCGCGAAATAAGGAAAATTCATTTTCCTTACAGTTCTACTACTAAACTTGTTTCTTGGTATTCCCAAGTTTGTGTGTTTAGTATCATCACCATTTGTGTTGGGTTGCGTAGCAACTTTATACATTTATTTTCGCTTTTCAAGGAACTTCTGTGAACATTGATTTTTCCCACATCAATTTTGGAAGAATCACCGTTCACATAAGTTCCACCGAATGTGAAACCAAATTTACCCAATCATTCTTTAGTAATCAATAAATACGGCGAATGGAACAATTGGTTGGACCAAAAAGTAGAACACAAACGAGGACCACACTTACCAAGACACACGCAAATTATCACTCGATCATATTGCCTTTGTATGACGGATCATGTCCCCACACCAGGTGCCACCCAGCCGCGTATGCACGCGCCGCCTCCACGTCCACCCAGCTGCTGATGGTCGTCTGGGAGTTCGTTTTCCGCTGGAGAACTATTTTTGCTGTCCAGGTGATGCTCGTACTCAACCTCGTGACGCCGGTGTATTGGGTCTTGATGATATCTGGCTTGCCCCCCTTGCTCTGCAGGTGTGACATGCTCTCAGACGCAGCTGGCCCTCGGTGACTGTGCACCTAACCCGGTGAAGCTGCAGGTCGGGGAAGGTGCGACGTGTGGTACACTCCCAGGTGCAGCGAGGGGTGCGTGATTGGGCACCGGCTCCTGAGTGGCTGTGGGCACGTTTGAGGTGTGTCGTAACTGCCATGCAGCTGCTCTCGAAACAGCTTCATCATAGTTCGCGCCCGTCACCGCCGAGGGTCGGTGACCCTGCAGGGTTTCTCGCGGATCTGTGGGACTGGGTGCACCCAGAAACCCCCTGGTGTCGCTACATCGGCAGTAGGGTTGCCCAATGCTGGTGCCACTCCCGCAACCGGCATCCCCCTTGCTGCTGATACTCCCGCACCCTGGAGCAACCCTACTGTTGCATTTGCCGCACCATTGCTCCCGCCTATTATTGCAACTTCAGCACCAGCGATCCCGCCTTCGTTTGCAACTATCGCACCCGGGTTGCCGCATGCAGTTGCAGCTCCCGCACACGGGAGCAACCCCGCGGTTGCAACTCCTGCACCCGATATCCCGCCTGCTGATGCATCTCCCGCACCCAGGACCCTACCTGGTGATGCATCTCCCGCACCTAGGACCCCGCCTGCTGATGCATCTCCCGCACCCAAGACCCCGCCTGCTGATGCATCTCCCGCACCTAGGACCCCGCCTGCTGATGCAACTACCTCACCCGGGAGCAACCCTGTTGTTGACACGCCCGCACCCGAAATCCCGCATGATGTCGCAACTCTGGCACTCGGGATCCCCCCTTCGTTGGTATCTCCCGCACCCGGGATCCCGCCTGCTGTTGCAACTCCCGCACCCAAGATCCCGCTTGCAGTTGCAACTCCCGCACCCGGGAACAACCCTGCTGGTGACACGCCCGCACCTGGAATCCCGCCTGATATTGCAACTCCCGCACCCGGGATCCCGCATGCTCTTGCATCGCCCGCACCCGGGATACCGCTGCATGTAGCAACGCCCGCACCCGGGATCAACCCTGCTGTTGACACGCCCGCACCCGGAATCCCGCCTGATGTTGCAACTCCCACACCCGGGAGAAACCATGCTGTTGACACGCCCGCACCCGGAATCATGCCTGACGTTGCAACTCCCGCACCTAGGATCCCGCCTGCTGTTGCAACTCCCGCACCCAGGATCCCGCTTGCAGTTGCAACTCCCGCACCCGGGAACAACCCTGCTGGTGACACGCCCGCACTCGGAATACCCCCTGATATTGCAACTCCCGCACCCGGGATCCCGCATGCTCTTGCATCGCCCGCACCCGGGATATCGCTGCATGTAGCAACGCCCGCACCCGGGATCAACCCTGCTGTTGACACGCCCGCACCCGGAATCACGCCTGATGTTGCAACTCCTGCACCCGGGAGAAACCATGCTGTTGACACGCCCGCACCCGGAATCATGCATGACGTTGCAACTCCCGCACCCGGGATCCCGCCTGATGTTGCAACTCCCGAACCCGGGATCAACCCTGCTGTTGATCCACCCGCTCCCGGCATCCCACCTAATGTTGCAGCACCGACATCTGTGATCCCGCCTGCGGTTGCAACACCCGCACCCGGGATCCCCCCAGCAGGTAAAACACACCCTTGTGTCAGCACCGGAAACTCGCCCCGTCTAGACGTGGACAACGTCCTGTTTTGCACATTCCCCCTATTTGCTGGAGGCGGCAGGTGCACCTGGACTGGTGAACTCTGTGCTGCAGGCACGGCGAAAGTGGCGGGCAGCGATGTAGGCATGATTCCCGTATCTGCTGCAAGACCAGATTCGGTGTAAGGCTGCTGGACCGTTCGAGCTGCACCACCACCCGATGCACCAGCCTCGTTGCTTCGGTCCAGATGTTGCGTATCACACCCGATTCTAGCCGCAAGCAAGGCGAACCCCTGTTTGAGTTGTGACACGGTGTCCGACAGCATATCGTGACTCTTACCCCACTTGAATACTAGGTACTTCAGTTCCTCGATATCCTTGAAGGCGCAGTCGATCTGCGCCCCGTACATGTTGTCGGACGCGATCAAGTCCTTCACCTTTGTCTCGATGTCCATGTCCAACTCTATCACGTCCTCCTCGCGGTCGTCGTCTGACTGAGGTTGCGGCGGTGGAACCACACCCGTAAGCCGCAAACTCTCCAGCAGTTGTCGTTGGTGTGAAAATGAAGAACAAGGATGGTTGAACTATGAATGAAGTGAGTACATATAGGAAACCCTAATTGGGTTGTACCCCCTATGGGATACCCCACTATAGCCTACACAACAGCATAAGCTATATAATGTTCTGACACACCCCCATAGGCAAAGTGGGGGAGAACAAGGGGTCACAAGACCAGTCAAGCAAAGCAGAGCAAGCTCAGGGTGGATCACAAAGTCACCACACAGTCCGAGCACAACGACAAGGCCGAAAGGCCAGTTCACATGCAGGAGTACACATATATATATAGAGCTAGACAAGCAAGAGCAGGTATATATATGTAACAGTACAAGCAAGGTCAAGAAGAGAGCAAGTGAGGCAAGACAGGTACAAGACCCAGCTGGGTGCAGAAGCGCTGATGGTCACAAGGCGCAAGTGCCTTGGTGAACACATCAGCAGTGTTGGCCTCAGAGGCCACGTAAACAAGTCGCAACTGACCACGCTGCTGCAGCTCACGAGCAAGAAAGTAACGGAGAGCAATGTGCTTCGTTCTGTGCTCCAAGCGCTGCTCTCGACACAAGGCCAGCATGGCTTTGTTGTCTACGTACAGCACTGGAGGAGAACGAGGCGGCTCTCCAAGGTCAGTCAGCAGGTAGGTGAGCCAGCGAAGCTCCTGTGCAGCCATGGCCCCGGCGTAGATCTCAGCCTCACAACTGGAGCTGAGAACAGAGGACGAGCGAGTAGCCCGCCACGAGACAGAGCCGGAACCAAGACTGAAGGTGTAACCCTGCGACGACCGCTGTGTAGCCTGGTCGTCTGCCCAAGAAGCGTCCGCGTGCCCAGTGAGGACCACTGGACTCCGCCCTCCAAGCACTAGCCCCATGCCCGACGTACTGCACAAGTAGCGCAACACCCTCTTAGCTGCAGCCATGTGCTCTGGTCGGTGTCTCCCAGGAGCAACATAGCGTGCGAGAATGCTAAGAGGGTATGCAAGGTCAGGTCGTGTACAGGTCATCAGGTACATGAGGCAGCCAACAAGCTCTGGGTACGGGCCACTCGACTCTACGGACTCATCCGAAGGCAGAGCTGAGAGCGAGTGGCGAGTAGACAGAGGAGTGGCCTGAGGCGAGGAGTACGTGAAGCCGAAGCGCTGAAGGACCTGCTGCACCATGTGTGACTGAGTCAAGGTAATGGTGCGGCGTGCTCTGTCCCGAGTGATCTGCAAGCCAAGGTAGCTGCGCAGTTCACCCAGGTCTGTGCACGTGTGTCTCTTCTGCAGCTCGGACTTCACGTAGGCTAGTCCAGCAGTGTCAGCTGTGGCAAAGACCAAGTCGTCGACGTACACGAGGACGTAGAACGGCGGCAAAGAAGTGTCGGTGCGCAGAAACAACGACGGGTCAGCAGTAGAGGGAGCAAACCCAAGAGCCGCAAGCGTAGTCCTCAGTGTGTCGTGCCACTCACGCGGTGCCTGGCGGAGACCGTAGACTGGCCGTCGGAGGCTCCACTGGGTGCCAGGAGGAAAAGTCCCAGTGAAGCCAGGTGGACGGCGCAGCCAGATCTCCTCGTGCAGGCTACCCTGCAAGAAAGCAGTACTGAAGTCAAGAGAGTGGAGCTCATAGTCGCGCTGAGCGGCTATGTGTAGCAGCACCCGAAGAGTGGTCATCTTCGGGGTGGGAGAGAAGGTCTGAAAGTAGTCAACTCCCTGCCGCTGACTGAAGCCACGAGCGACGTACCGCGCCTTGAAGACAGGTGGAGAGCCCGGCGGCCGCTTCACCCTGAAGATCCACATGCCACTGACGATGTTCGCCCCAGGAGGGGGAACCGCGTCAACGTAGGTGCCTGTGGACTTCCAGGACGCCATCTCTGCATCCATAGCTGCCTGCCACTGAGAGGAGTAGGGACCCTCTACGGCCTCCGCGTAAGAGCGCGGAGTCGGGATGTCAAGTGCATCCGGGTCTCCCTCAGGGGCAAGTAGTACGGACGCGAGATGAGGTGAAGCAGCAGCCAGACACCGGAACTCCTCCTGCCTGTCCTCAAGGACGTCCGTGCCAAGAGCACACTCACCCCCGACGGACGGAGGACAGACAGACGCAGACTCAGCAACAAGACCGGCAGCGTAGTCTAGACGACAGCGAGCAGCAAAGTCGACGAGCTCAGCAACAAGCGCAGACGCAGCAGTGGACTCAAAAGAGGGGTCAGTGACGACAGTAGCAAGGAGACGTGTGACAGCAGGACTGGCAGCACGAAGAGAGTCCGACTCCGGGTCAGGAAGAGCAGGAAGAGAGGACTCAGGAGGAGAAGGCAAAGGGGCACGCAGAGGAGCAGTGGACGGACGCAGAGACATCCGGTGCGTGCCAGGGACAGGAGGAGGACGCTGACGCGAACCACGACCACTAGTGCGAGCAGCACGGACAGGCGACGCAGGGCGAGACGCAGGCTCACGACGCTCAGCAAGACCTCCAGTAGGACCAGTGTAGGGAGAAGGAGCGGGCAGTGGGGAGGCCGGCCGTAACTGTAACTGTGACAGGACAGGCTGTGGACACTCTAAGGGAGGAGGAGGACCAGTAGAAGGCGGGAGACCAAGAACCTGCTGAAGGAGCGGAACGAAGTACGGTCTAGGCCGCGCGGCGACTCCAGACACAGCAGGGACAGCACCAGTACCCCCAGCGGCAGCACCAGCGCCAGCAGCACCTCCAGCTCCAGGACCTCCAGCAGCACCAGTAGCACCCCCAGCAGGACCGCCTCCAGGACCGAAAGCAGTAGCCTCAGCGTCAACGCCCTCAGCAGCTCCAGCTCCAGTACCTCCGGGACCCGCGGCACCAGCACCCTCAGTAGCCGAAGAACCTCCAGCTCCAGCAGCACGCCTCCAGCGCCGGGCAAGCCACTCGCGCAGCTCCTGTGGAGAGAGGGGCTCCCGCCGAGGCGAAGCACCCGGAGAACCGCCAGGTCCCGCACCGCCAGACGCCACAAGGGGAGGTCCAGTGGCCGCAGGCTCCGCAGCACCAGGCTCAGCACCTCCAGACGCAGCACCCCCTGGCTCAGCACCCCCAGTAGCAGCACCCCACGGCTCAGCACCCCCAGACTCCGCACCCCCAGGCTCAGTACCCCCCGTCGCAGCACCCCCAGGCTCAGCACTCCCAGACTCCGCACCCCAAGGCTCAGCACCCCCAGTCGCAGTACCCCCAGGCTCAGCACCCCCAGACTCAGCACCCCCAGGCTCAGCACCCGCAGCAGGACCAGAGTCACCAGCAACCTCGACCGGCTCGACTGCGTCTACCTGGGACACACCTGAAGGGGCAGGACCCTGAGGGGGTAGGGGGTCTACCGGGGGGGGACCTGGCACAAGGAAGTGCGGTGGCGGGGGGAGGGAAGGAGTGCGGTAGGGGAAGAGGCGGTAGAAGGGGACTGACTCGTCGAACGTGACGTCCTGGGAGGACAGAACACGACGAGAGGAGGGGTGGTAGAACTGCCACCCTGGAGCGTCAGGGGGGAAGCCGAGGAAGACACAGGGAGCAGCACGAGGGGACAGCTTGTCCGCAGACAAGTCGCGGACAAACGCCCGAGATCCCCAGACACGGAACGCAGACGCATCGCCGACCTTCCCCGTCCACAGCAGAGCTGGGGAGGTCTCCGGCCGGGAGACCCTGGGGTGAAGGTTGATCTGATGCGCCGCGTACCGAACCGCAAACGGCCACAGAAAATGGGGGGCAGCCGCATGCATCATGGACGTACGAGCGACGTCCATGACCATGCCAATGCGGCGCTCAGCAATCCCATTTTGCTGTGGAGAGTCCGGAAGCGTAAAGGTCTGGCGGATGCCTCGTGCACGACAGTAGGCTCGCAGAAGGCCAGAGGAGAACTCTCCACCTCGGTCAGAGTGCA